CCAGGAGTTGGAGGTTGCTGTGAGCTGTAATGCCATGGCACTCTACCCAGGGGGAAAGCTTGAGGCTCTGTCTCAAAAAAAAAAAAAAAAAAAGATTTTCAATATTGGTAAAGTTTTCCACTTGAGCGCTGGGTTATTTTCAGTTTTTGCTGCTGTGACTCAGGCAGTGAGTGCCTTCTTCTACATGGATCTTTGCATGTGTGTCTGTTTTCCAGGAGAGTAGCTGCACCAAAGGCCTTGATCTTTTTAAAGACCCCTGTTGGTCCAATTGCTTTCCTAAAAATCTGCACCATTTAACCTCAGGGAGCAGGGATTGTATAATCTAATTTGTAGATAGGAAAAGGGCATTCAGCAGGTGAAGGGATCTGGCCCAAGATACAACAGACAATTAGCTCAGACCCCAGACCAGACCAGGCTAGATCTAGGCTGCATGTGCCTGACCTGGTCCTCAGTCCAGGCTTCCTCTTGGGAGTGGCCTAGCCAGGCCTTAATGCCAGGCCCCACCCCTTTGTTTACTCAAAAGATTTTCTTCCCACCTGATCTCTTTGGAGTAAGGGGGATCTCAGACTCTGTCAGGACAGCTTATTGGGGGTGGGAACTGACCTAGCCTGTGTTTCTAGCCAGTTTTCCCTGAAGAAGGGTCTGATTTCTACCAGGTCCCCAGGGCGCCCCCTGCCCTGCAGGTGGGGGTGGGGCTGGCTTAAGTCTCGGTTCCTCCTGGGGCTTCCTGCGGCCCCTTTCACTTCCTGCCGGGCAGCCCCAAGCCAAGGGCTCAGGGTGGGGGTGGGGAGGTCCATCTGGTAAGGCCAGGGAAGGCCTGACCCTCACCTCCCTCTTTTTGAGCGGGGATAACCCTATAAGGCACCAACCCTAGAAACTGGTGGTATAGCTCTGGGCCTCTCTCCACCTGCAAAATGGGGCTCTTAAGGGCCACCCCAACTGTCCTTTGAGTTTAAAACAGATGATGTGGCATGTAGGGACTGGGTGATCCCTGCCAGGGCCAGAGAAAGTCCTGGGCAGGGAGGCGGCAGCAGGCCTGGTCCTGACCCGGGTATGGGGGTGCAGTAGGGACAACTGCCCAGAATCATGCGGAGAGTCGGGGAGGTGCCGGGAGGAAAGAGATGCCCGTGTTCCTGGCCCATGAGCCTTCCTCCTGGGATTCTGCGGGGCGCCGCGGCTGTGAGGGGTAGGGGGATACAGAGGTCCCGGGGCCCCTAAGCATCTTCTTCACTCTCCTATAATGCAGACAGTCTGTGATCCAGCATTGAATCCAGTCGGTCCAGCGGCTCTGGAGCAGGCGAAAGTCTATATGAGTGGCTTCTGCGGTCGGCCCGGTTGGTGGCACCTAGGCCATTAGTGCCGGGTAACGGAGGGGATTCCGGAACCGAGAATGCTGGGCTAAAGCAGCGGCACTGCCAAGGACCAGGGTCAAGGAGAGAGAGAGACTGAAAGAAAAGGGCGGGTCCAGAGGCAAGTGAAAGGGGTGGGGTCAAGGCCAAGGGGCGAGGAAAACGGGAGGGACCGGATGAGGGGCGGGACCAAGGCCAAGGGTGCCAGTTGCCAGCTCCCGACCTCCGCATCCGCACGGAGTCCCGGTCTTCACGCGCGTCCTGAGGACTGTGGGCCCAAGCGGGAGGGCCCGGGATGCGGGCCATGGCCCGGCCTTTAGGGCGAGGTGTAGGTCGGAAGGCTCTAGGTTTCGAGCTGACCTCGGAATTGTGGCCCAGGAGCAGGCGGGCTGGCGAGGGTAGACCTGTCCAGGTCGACTCACTGTAGGGGCCTCGGCGGAGCCCTGTGCTGTGTTCCCGCGCGAGGTCTTGGTGGCTAGTTCCGGATTTGCACGTTCAGTGGTCTTTGAAGGGTCATGAAGGAGGAGATACGGGGGTGGTATTACCTGTGGCGTCTGGAGTGGGGAACCTGGAGGCAGCGCAGGGTGCAGGCCGGGTTGAGACTGGAGGCTGAGCCCCAACTCCCAGCCCCCCAATCCCGCCGCTCCCTCGAAACCTCAGGAGCCCAGGCGTCCCCTCCCTCCCACAGGCAGCTGGAGCCTGAGTCACCGGAGCTGCCTCTCAGGAGACAAAGGCAGCCGTGGGCCCTCCTTCCAGACCCCCTCCTGGGGCCGACATTGCACTAGCGGGAGTCCAGAGTTCCCACAATGTCTGTTCTTGGTTAACTCGCCATCATGGAGGAAATGGAAGTGAAATGAGCTTAGGAATGAGGCCTTTGAAGCTTTTCCCGGGTGGATGGCATCCCAGTCAGTCACCATTCTCTCAGCCTGGCTGCAATGGGGGCTCCCACCAGGATTCCTGTGCTTGGGTGGTTCCAGCCAGGGGTCCACTGGCTTCTCCCTGCCCATCCTGCAGATGAGAAAACAGGCCTACAAAGGTTGAATGGGGTCCTAGTAGAGCAGGAATTCCAACCTGGTTAGTCTGGCTCCAAAGTGAAGGGTAAGTGGAAGCTTTCTGTGTCAGGGACTGGAAGGGCATTCGAGGTAGAGAAAACAGCCTGTGTGCCCAGGTGGAGTCAGGGTGTGTACAGGTCAGGCGTGGTAAGCATCCTTTCAGCCGGTTGGGGGTGCCCTCCAGCTGCTCTCTCTCTACTGAACTGGCCAGAAAGTTGAGGCTCACAGCACAGGTTCCAGCCAGACCCTGCTCTCCTGGCTAAAGCAACTCACTTCCCCTCTCTGGGTCTTGAGTTTCTCTAGGAAATTCCAAACCCTCTCCTCCCTCAGGGCTGTGCTGGGCTGGGTGGAGCTGGCAAACTGCTCACCCACCATTTATATGGGGTCACTTGGGCCTGGCACAGGCTTCCCTTAATATCCACAACGTCTTAGGAACCCCAGCCTTCCACAGCTAAGGCTAAGTACCAGGTGAGGGCTTGACATTGAAGGAAGGACTTGGGCGCAAGTTGCACCTACACCGACACACATGTGCCCTCATAGTCACCTCCCCTCTCATCAGGGCATGTGCAAACACCTGCACACTGGAGCTGCCAGCACAGGGGAGGAGGGTGCAGGGCAGGTGCCCTTCAGGCTCAGGGACTCATCTTGCTGCAGATGCCAGGGGTTATTTTAAGCCTGAATCAATGGACAAGTTTTGGTGACACAGGCTGGGGGTGGGGTGGGCCAAAGAGGTAAGAAGTAGGTGCCTTGCTATGGTGGTGAAAGACCCTTGGGTCCAGGCAAGGGGTCATGTATCAGCAAGGCAGCACCATCCCTACATCCTCTTATGCAGAACTCGGCCAAAAACTGGGCTCTGTCTTTACATTTGCCCTCTCTTGCCCCCTCTCCCCGCTAAGGACAGGAGTACACAAGGAGAAGGGGGTATTGAGTGGCTGGCACAGACTTGGTAGAGGTGAGTCCCCCTGGTTCCTAGTTGACTACTGAATCAGACTGGGATTTCGAGAAGCCTCGTGTATGTGGTAGGGGTATTGGAGGTCGGACATCAGCCTCTGGGAGTGGGACTGGGGCTACAATCCAACTCCTTCATTGGAGAAATGGCTGGCTGTCATGAGGGACATATATTTGCAGGACCTGATGGGAGTCACCATGGGGTCTAAGCTGAGTGCCCAGTGCCAGGACAGCAGGGGCCCAGGAGGGGCTGTAACCCAGGGAAAGCCTTAGAGGACTTGCTCTGGACCCAGTAGAGTCACCTTACCTAGGAAGATGCCACAGCTTCAAGGGGGCAGAGATGGATACCCAAAATGGGTGTGAAGGGTGAGGAGAAGCAGCCACCCTCAGGGCCTGCAACCTGGAAGGCAGCTTGGTAGAGGTGGTGCCACTGATCTATTTCTAGTAATGACCCCAAGGAAGCAGGAAAGGATCCTCCAAAAAAGGATAATTATCAAGTTTGGAGAAGAATGACAAACTAAAAGTTTAAGGACAGCAAAAAGTAAACTAAAAACCAGTTACAAAACAGCATGTTAATTGTGACATAGTTTAGTGTGGTGTCTCTGGTGATGGGATTAAAGCAATTTCATTTCACTCCTTTGCTCATCTATTTTTTTTCCTCTGAAAACTGTAATAAGCAGTGTTTTAACAGAGGAAGGGAGGGTATTCTGGGTTGGATGGGAAGTATGGGTGTGGAGGGGGCAGGCTATCTTTGGCCAGGTCATGAGGAGTCTCCCTGGGGGGGGCAGGGTATTGCTGGGAGGCCATTCCCTCTTCCTGTGTTAGCCCTTTAATACCTGAAATTAGCCTGTCAGCCCCTCAGTGTCAGGACGGACTTGATCCTTCTTAAAATGTAAATCCTTCCTCTTCCTCCCTCACCTCCTCCACTTTTATAAGCTAATCTCAGTCGCTGAGTGATGGTGGAAGGAAGGAGGAAAAGAAGGGGAACAAGAAGGATCCTACGAGCCCAAATTCTTCAGCTTACAGAAAGGAGAGACTGGAGTCAGAAAGGAGAGACTGGAGTCGTTTCCGTCCTCCCTCCCTTCTAGTATTGACCCAGGCCTGAGCCCTGCAGGGACACGGGGTGAACTGGACGCACAGTCCTTGCCCTCCTGGTGCTCCCATCTGGACAGTGAGAAGTTCCACATTGACCCTTGCCTCCTGGAGGAGGCAGATTATGAATCTCCAGAAAGAGTCTCATGTCGCCCTCAGTAGCGTGCTATGGCATCATAGCTCACAGCAACCTCAAAGTCTTGGGCTCAAGCAAATCTCTTGCCTTAGCCTCCCAAGTATCTGGGACCAAGATGCCCACCACAACACACAGCTATTTTTAGAGATGGGGGGGTCTCACTTTGGCTCAGGCTGGTCTGGAACCTGTGAGCTCAGGGCAATCCGCCTCCCTCAGCCTTCCAGAGTGCTAGGTTTACAGGCGTGAGCCACCGCGCCTGGCCTCCAGAAAGTTTTGATGTTAAGACCAGAAACTGAGGCAGGGAAAAGCAAGGAGCCGGCAGCACCGTCACATTCTTTAATTAAACTCAACTCAGAAAACGTGACTGAGCTGTGCAGCGGGCCAGGTCGGGTCTTTTTACCGGTCCTACCCCCCACCTCCACCCCCGCCCTGGCCTGTGGAAGGACCGGCCGGGTCCTGCGGAGGTCGGGTCGGGGTGGAGGTACGTGCCCGGCTCGGGGCCAGCCCAGTCTCCTGTCATACCTGGGGAGGGGAGCAGATCACTGGAGGATGCTAGCTAGGCCATGCCCATCGCCGCGGGGACGGGGATATCCGGGACCTGGCCCAGCGTTCGGGAGGTTCTGGAACCCAGGCTCATGCCCCGGGGTAAACCCTGGAGGAAGGGACCCGGACTTGCCCCTGAGCAGTGGCGCTGGGGCGGTTTAGGGAAGGGGCCCGCCTCACATCATGACCAGAAAGAACAAAAGGGCCAGAAAGGAAAACGGAGGGTGGCACTGACCGTCCCACGGATATTCCGAGCAGCTTTGACTTCCGCGAACCGATGGGTCCCCGCACCTGTAAAACAGGGACGCTCCAGGCGCGGATTCTAATGTCCGAGGTAACAGTCCGGGTGGCCTTAAGCAGGTCCTCCGCGAGCGCCCTGTTCTGAGCACTGGCTTGGGGAGGACCTCCGGGAGGGTCCGCGGTGGGGCGCCCTGCAGCTCGGGCCCGGCCGCGCCCCCTCCCGCCCTGGAGGCCGCGCTCCTCCCCCGCTCGCCGCCCGCCCTCCTCCCCTCGCTCCCTCCCCCGCCCGCCCGCAGCCCGCGCCGAGCCGGAGCCCGCGCCCGAGCCGGAGCCGGGGCGCGGGCAGCACGGAGCGGGCGGCGGGAAGGCAGCGGTATCCCCGCGAGGCCCGGGACCCACACACCCGCCGGGCCGGGGAGAAGCCGGGACCGCGTAAGCTACGACGCACCGCCCAGCTCGGGGGGCAGCCAGGGGCACTGATCAGCCGGCCCGGGTCCGAGGTGCGCCCTGGCGGAGAACGCGTCCACCGGAGGGGCGGCCTCCTGAGCTCCAGACCGAGTACACCCGGGGCTGGGGTCCCCAGAGGAGGTCGACGGTTGGGGAGGCGTCCGCCGGGAGCCAGCGTCCGGGCGCCGGGACCCGCGCAATCCCTGAAGGCGCGGGGGAGTAGGGCCGGAGGGGGCCGCGGCGTGGGGCCATGCGCTGGGCGCAGTAGCAGAGCCAGCACGGATGGCAGGGCCCGGGGCGCGGAGGCTGCGCGGCGGCCACCATCCACCGGGGTTCCAGCTGACGCTCGCGCTCCGGCTGGCGCTGCTGCTGGCATGGCCACCGTCGGGCCGAGCGGGGGCTCCCGAGGCGCAGGGGCCCGCGGCACCTGGCACCGCAGCCCCGGCCGGGGGCGACCGCTGCCGCGGCTATTACGACGTGATGGGCCAATGGGACCCGCCCTTCAACTGCAGCTCGGGCGCCTACAGCTTCTGCTGCGGCACGTGCGGCTACCGCTTCTGCTGCCACGACGGGCCGCGGCGTCTCGACCAGAGCCGCTGCTCCAACTACGACACGCCAGCCTGGGTGCAGACCGGCCGCCCGCCAGCCCGCGCCCGCGACGCCGCCGCGCCCCGGGACCCCGGCCGCGAGCGCAGCCACACGGCCGTCTACGCGGTGTGCGGCGTCGCCGCGCTGCTGGTGCTGGCAGGCATCGGGGCGCGGCTGGGCCTGGAGAGGGCGCACAGCCCGCGCGCGCGTCGCACGGTGACCAGGTGAGCGCCCTGCCGGACCACGACCCCCACTCCGACGCCCTGACACCCTCACTGCTCATGGGCACCCCGCGTGACCGTCCATCTTTCTTGCCCCTCTCAAAGCACTGGTCCGCTCTGCACGCCCCTTCAGGTCTTTCCTCCCTGTCTCTCCCTAACCCCCATTTCATGAGACTAGACTCCCCTTGACCTTCTGGTCTGTGCTTGGTACTGGGCCACTCAAGCCTCCTCCCTGCTTGGAGGGCTGGTAGCCTCAGGCAGTGGGCATAAGGTTAGCGCCAGGGAGGGAGACTCACTGGCAGGCAGGGCAGTACTGGGCCTCTTGGGCGGTGGGCAGAGAAGGCTCTCTGCGCTCTTCCCCTCCCCCCATGTCTCCAACAGCCCCCCGAGCTGTGACTCAGGCCTGACCTTCCTTTCCTGGGTTCCAGAGGGCCTCCCTACTTGCCCCACTCCATAGCCCCAGGTGCAGGTTAGGGTCACCCTCTGCATGGAGAACAGCATCCAGTGTTGCTGACACCAGGACAGGTGCTAGCAGCGTTCTGAGCCTGGTGTGAAGTGGGGTCTACAGGCCTAGGTCCCTTTCCTTAGCTGGAATGGGGACTCTAGGATTCTGTGTCCAGACCTGGAACTCCCACCTATCTGCCATACTCACATACTCACATGCCTCCAGCAGCCCCCACTTCTGGGGCCTGTGCCTCATTCTCCAGGACCCAGCACCCTTTGGGCATGTGGGCTGCTGACACTACGGTGACAATGGAGAGAAACTCCCACACTCTGGAGGGCCAGATGTGGATGCTTCCCCCTCCTGGGCCTCAGGGGCAGGGGATGAGGGCTTCCTTAGCACTGCACATCCCCACCTCCCAGACAGCTGTAGGGCAGAGCTGGGGCTGATAACCTGGCCTCTGCTTTCAGCCACTGTCTGCTTCTATGATGTGGAGCTTCTTGGCCTATGTCGTGGATGGGGCTGGCCCTTCTGAGTTTTGGGTCCCTTGTGCTGGGTGAAGGTAGCTGTGTGTGTGTGTAGCCCTGCCTATGTCTTTGACTAGGGGGGGGCAATGGGAGCTGAGGGTCACTACGATGTAGCAGGTGGCTGGGGCAGTCCAGCTGACACATTCGCCTGCCTTTGTCTTTGGGGGACAGGGAAGTGGGTTTGGTGATGCCTCAGGGAGAGCTGAGCCTACCCCTAATGTGCCGAGTAGCTGGGGGTTCTTTCTGGGCTTTAGGCTCCCACATCCCCAACTAACTGGGCTTGGGTTCGTGTGTGGGTAACTTTCCAAGCTCTGCTCTGTCCCTGAGTCTCTTAATTCTGTCATGTTGGTGCTGATGGCCAGGGGAGGCATCACAGAGGGCTTGGAGGAAGCCCCTGGAGAGAATTTGTGCAAAGGCCCAGGGCCATGGCGGTTACTCATTTGTTTAGGAGAGCCGGGCTGGCGGTGCTCATCTGGGGATGAGACCACAGAGGTGAGCTGCTGAAGAGTGGGCAGGGCAGGAAGGTCAGTTCAGGGAAGTACTAGGACATTTTCAGACCCTGCCATGTGGCAGCCAAACCTCCAGGACATCTCTTCATGAGTCAGCCATTTGAGGCCCCAGCCCCAGAAGGAGGGTCAGGGTGAGTAGGAGAAAATCATAGGTTCTGGGTGTTGAAGGCAGCTGGGCTGAACAGACATTGTCACATTATCACAGCTGGGTGGGGGCTGGGTGTCCTGGGTACCGAGAGAGGTGGCTGTCCAAGGTCACACAGCCTTCCGGTGCTGGGCTGCCATGGGAAATTTCCTGTGCCCCTCCATCTGTCCTCCATGCCTGTGCTGGCAGCTGTGTCCCCAGACCCAGTAGAAGCCCCTGCTGCAGGAGGGGAATTAGGTAGGCAGGTAAAGCAAGCTTCCTGGGTAAGGGGGGCCAGGCCACCCCTACAGTTTGAAGACTGGTGAATAGGGGTTTTATGGGAGGAGATGGAGGAAAGGATGTCAGAGGCAGGATTGTGTTAGGAGGAGGCTCCACTGGGGAGGATCTTCAGAATGGGCTCCAGGAAGGAGAAGGAAGGGAAGTCTTAGGAAAATAAGGTGGCCCTGGTTAGTTAGCATTAGTTTCCTTAAGTGCTCTGGATGTGGCTATCTTGGGACCAGAGAGTGAGACCATCATGGCCATGGGCCGGGCTGGTCTGTAATACCCAGGGCCTGGCTGATGGGGAGGCACCGCTCTGTCCCCGCAGGACACTGACAGAACTTCTGAAGCAGCCAGGCCTCCAGGAACCCCTGCCTCCACCTCTGGGGCCGAACCTGGGTAGCTGTGTCCAGGTGCAGATGGGGGATGGTCTTCCAGAGGGCTCCCCCCATGCCAGCACAGGTGAGCAGGCGAGTGGTGGCACTGCTGACCCGCTGCAGAATGTGGGAAGGGGTGTGCTTCAATGAGCTGGTTCCTCTGTGGGTGTATAAGGTGGCGGGCAAGCCAGTTAGCTCCCCTAGTTGGGAAGGGACCTGAGACCCTCCCATGTGTCTTGCCAACTTCAGTCTCAGAGGCTGTAATTTGTGGGAGGTTCCAGATTCAGGATCTGCTGGCCAGGGCTGTGGTTCTGCATGGTGGCTTGGTGCCCTGGGCTCTGAAGCCTCCCTCTCAGTCTTTAGGGGTGCCCACTTCCCCACCTGGGCCTGTTCCTCAGGTGCTACCCCCATATCCTTGGGAGCAGCAGGTCTTCGGACTCAGTGCCTGGCTCAGCCTAACCTGCCTGGAGCCATTCATCAGGTTGGTGCCTCTAGGGCAGGCTGCCACGGTTCCAGGTATTTGGAGCTAGGCTCTGTTCCAGGTGCTGGAGATTCTGCTCTGAAGACAGGTGCTGGCTCGGCGCCTATAGCTCAACCGGCTAAGGCACCAGCCATGTACACCTAAGGTGGCAGGTTCGAATCCCCAGCCCGGACCCGCTAAACAACAATGACGGCTGCAACCAAAAAATAGCCGGGCGTTGTGGCGGGCGCCTGTGGTCCCAGCTACTTGGGAGGCGGAGGCAGGAGACTCGCTTGAGCCCAGGAGTTGGAGGTTGCTGTGAGCTGTAATGCCACGGCACTCTGCCCAGGGGGACAGCTTGAGGCACTGTCTCAAAAAAAAAAAAAAAAGACAGGTGCTGCTCAGTCTCTCCAGAGAGTGATCCCCAAGGTTGCGCTCCGTTGCCTGGGGGAGAGGGCTGTGGAAGGTGCTAGCGCAGGTGGAGAGCCCAGGTCAGCTTACTGACCCCTCTCCCACCCTCCAGATAAGAAACGCCTCAACAATGGGCCCCTGGGGTCGGCCACCCCCGGACCCCCGCGCAGACCCCGGCTACAGGGCAGCAGCAGCAGGACGCTGCAGCCCGACTATGCCAAGTATGCCACCCTCAAGGCTGCTCCGTTCAAGGCCGCAGGTGAGTGCGCCCAGGTGTTCAGACACAGAACTCCCACTTTGAGTTCTAGCTCCAGGCGCCCAGAGCTTGACCCCATCCCCTTCCCTACAGAGTCAGCCCCGCAGGACTTCTATCAGCGCTTCCCTGCCTCTGAGCCTGCTCTGCAGCCCCACCCAGTGCGGGCCCCACGGCCTCCTGAGAACCTACCTGAACTGCTGGACACCTGCCCCTGGGCCCCACCGGGCTATGCCCACCACGTGGGCCTCGCTGCCTCGGGCCAGTATGGAGCCTGGAACGCCCGTCGCCCGGCCCGGCCCGCCCCCCGCAGCCACCCAGCCTCGCAGGTGTCCCCAGCACCTCGACGTCCTGCTCATGCGCCCCGGCGCCAGCTGAGCGTGGAGAAGCTCCCCGATGCCATCAGCCCACAGCCCCCCAGTCTCTATGGCAGCACCAGCCGCGGGCCTCGGCACCTGAGCACCAACAGCAAAGCTGAGGTCACTGTGTGACGTGGAATCAATGCAAGGAGAGGGGTCCAGCTGGGAAGGCCAGCTCGTCCTTCTGCACCAACCGGACAGGGCCTTGGAGACTGTAGGGCCTGGATTCTTGGTGTAAATAAATCCTGTTCTGTGGTTCCCACCCCTGAGAATAAAGGAGCCCCAGCTTGGCTGAGACAGGCACTGATGGCAGCATTGGTCATTGACTGGACAGACGGCGGTGCAGGCAGAGGGCACAGCATGTGCAAGAGCAGAAGACTGCTCCTGAGTTGGCAGGAAAACATGCTGGGAGCCCCAAGAAATGGCTAGGGAGGGTGGCCAGGGCTGCTGACCGGGCTGAATGCCCACAGTAGTGGGCACCATGGGAGAGCGAGCAGTTAGGCCTTGGCCATCTTCCGGTCTGGGCACAGGGGAGAGGACTCTTGGGGGGGGGCCAAGCCCTCTACTGGAGGTGAGTTCCCCCTGCCTCCTAAACAGTCACCCACTCTACAGCTCAAGTTGGCTGAACCTGGCTGATCCTCACTGATAAGGTCTGGTTGTGGGCCGGGTCCTGCCCTGCAGGATGGTTGGCCAGATTGGCCCAGGGCCACCCCCCTGATGGGTACGGGCCTTGTGGACATCTGGTGCCCAGGACGGGGGAGCCTCCTCCCAGGAGCTGCTCTGAGGGAAAGGGGTGGGGGTGCTGGAGCAGGAGGCCGTAGTGCCGCTCTGGGTTCTCTGTCCACCACACATGCCTGGCACTGGCAGCCCATCTTTCCCGCAGGGAGGCCCCCTTGTACCCCACTGTGGCCAGGGCATTGTCTGCAGCTTTAGAGCAACTTCCAGAGTCCTGTGCAGGTAATGTTAGGGATAGGAGAGCTGGGCTATCTATGGCCAGCTGAGGTGTGTGATCTCAAGAAAGCCACCCCTGTCGGGTCTTTTCCCTCCAGAGTACCTTAGGTGTGGAGTGCTGTTTTAATAACAATGGCCCCAGTTATTGCCCTTTCTTATTTAATCCTCATAAGAGCCCCATGATGGATGTCTTTTCAGAAGAGGGAATTCAGGTTTTGAAACCCAAGTAACATGCCCAAGGTCACCCAGCTGATACACAAGTTAAGAGTCCTATGGGATTCCGATGAGTCTGAGGGTAAATGGCTGGCAGGGGCAGTCTGGGGAAAGGGACCCGGGAATCCCAGGGTGTGAAGTCTAGGATCCCCCTCAACATCACTCCTGCTGGACTTCCAGCCCCCATACCCACCAGGTGTGGTCAGCTCTGTCCATAGAAGGGTCCACTTTTCTTTTCTTTTCTCTCTTTCTTTTTTTTTTTTTGAGACAGAGCCTCAAGTTGTCCCCCTGGGCAGAGTGCCGTGGCCTTACAGGTCACAGCAACCTCCAACTCCTGGGCTCAAGCAAGTCTCCTGCCTC